CAAAAAAAAAAAGGACTACAGTGGTCCCTCGGTTAACGAGATTTCGGTTAACGAGTTACCTTCCATAAGATTCTTAACTTCGGTTAACGAGCAATCCCTCGATTAACGAGTTTCTTACGAGCCAACCTGAACATGATTTCGCTTGCATTTGGCGGTCCACCAGCTGTAGTATTAGTCCGCCAATACAGTAATCGGTTCTAGGGCTTAAATTCCTTACCATTTTAGCAAATATCAAGAAGTTTATACAATTCAATAATTTTAAAAGTTTAATATTACATTTTTTACTCATTTTAACAATTATTGAACATAATTGAAGTTAATGAAACTAGTTTTATGCGTGCCATCCAGCCTCTCAACACACCATACAGGCGTCAGTCTTTGTATCTTTTCAGTGGAGGTAACATCTTGCTTGAGACTCTTCAACTAAATGCTTTTTTTCTGTGTTTCCAAGCAAATTATTGGTCATTTTGAAATTTATTTTACATATTGACAATATACAATGCAGTGCAGTGTTGATTTAAAGAAAATAATCTTGAATTGCACCAAGAGAACTAAAATTTTATGGGTGAAATGGCGCCATGGGGTGACTTCTCTTCCACCCCAATGCCATCTCTTCTCCCTTCTCCACCCCCATTCTAATTCCCATCAACATCATCCAGGAGCCTTCTACATACACACCTCAAAGTAAGTGTACTTTTCTTCCTTTTTTTTTAATTTAGGCAATTTTCGGTGAGCTGGAACCACTTACCCAAAAACCCATTGAAACAATGGTTTCGGTTAACGAGCAACCTTCTAGAACGGATTGTGCTTGTTAACCGAGGGACCACTGTACTGCTAATTCTTTAACGTTTATGTGTTTGTCCCAAAGGGAGTTGCTCCACTTCCCTTGATGGAACTCTCCTTTTGAGGAATGGTATACGTACCCATCCTATTTCGGATGCGTCCATACAAACGACCAAGTCTGTTTGAGGCGGAACCCAGGGAGATGAACCGATTAGATTGTCCAAATTTGTCCACCATGACAGATGATTCTTGATCTGAATAGGGAGAGAAGTGAAATAGCAAAATTTCTGTTTCTGTGAAGCAAATTTGACCCCAGATGAATTAGTTGTTTCTTTCTTAACTTGCCCAAAGGAACTACTATTGTGGCAAAATTCAACAGACCCAATAGCTTTTCCCAACCGTGCCAAGAAACCTCTTGCTTTACACAAAAGGCTTCTACTTGGTTTATCGCATCTGTTACCTTTGCTTCTGGTAGACTGACTGACTGCTGATTGGTGTCCCAATGGAAACCTAACCAATCCAGTTTCTGACATGGTATGAGATTTGATTTAACCTGGTTTATCTATAATCCTAGGTTTTGAAATACAGCCAATCGTCTAGATAAGCAAAAGTTCTTATGCCTTCCTTCGCAAGGATCTCTCTGGGGATGTTTGCCAGTTTTGTAAATACTTTTGGCATAATTGCCAAGCCGAATGGCATCACTGTAAATTGATAAGTTACATCCCCTACTTTGAACACCAGAAACTTTCTGTACCTGGGAGCAACAAGTATGTGACGATAGGCATCTTCGAGATCCACTTTTGAAATCCAAGCATTGGGCGGAAGTAGATGCCTCAGATGATCGTAAGTGAGCATCTTCAAACTTTTTTTGGGAATAAACTTGTTCAGGACGGAAAGTTCTGAAATCCACCTTAATTTATAGCTGCCTTTCTTTGGGACTGGGAATAGGCGAGACATGAAACATTTCTCTGACTGCAACAGTTCTATCACACCTCTGTTTAGTAGTTGAAATACAAATTTTGTAAGTAATGGGGTTGGTTTTTGACCCTTCTTTGGAAATGCTAGGGGAGGGCGCCTCAACCAAGTCCATGTGTGACCCCCTTTGATTGTCTTGTAAGCCCATATGGAAGAAGTCCACCTGTTCTCCCAACCCCCTAGATGACCCAGCTGTCTGGCTTCATTGGAAGGGAGTGACCGCTGATGTGGTGGAATAAGATCTCCATCCGCTTCTGAACAAACGGCCACCCTTACTACATCTTGAATTGTTTCCTCCTCTAAAGTTTCTTTTAAGTTGATAACTGAACCTAGCAGCTGGTCCTGTTCCCTTGTTAAACCTTCCTCTTTTAAATTTCCAAAAGGTCTTAGGACTCCTGGGAACAGTAATATTAATAGCTTGCTCAACAGCTGATCTACATTTAACTAATGTTTGTTCATCAAACAAAGCTGGAGAAAGAGGGGAAGAATGTAGCAATAAATAAGCACTACCACTTGAAGCATTATTAGTGGCCTGCTTCCTTAGCTGGGCTTTCAGTTTTAGGGCTTTCAACAACATTTCCATAAATGAGTTGTACAGGGAATATGGAATCCCTTGTACAGCAGCAGCAAAACATCTGTCTACTTCTGAACTGTCCTCATAGTCTAGAACAAACTTATTCAATAACTGACACATCATAATTGCAGACCAAATATCTGCTGCCAACTTCCTAAATTTGAATTCTTCAAGCAACAATGCAGAAGCAACTCGTTTCAAATTTATTTCATAACTTATATCACCATATTTTGGAGCCGACAAATACTGGTAAAGTTCATTTAAGGAGCTCTTTTCGTCATTAAATTGGAACTTCAAAAACCTAAACTTGTGAGCATTCCTGTCAGCGGGAATGAATGTTAAGTCTTTCAATAAATTAGCCCAGAATTAATCTATTTCAGAGATCATTTTGGGGCAAATATTAGGCCAAGAAATTGTAGTATCACCTTCTAAAGACAATGAATGATGACCCACAGTTGCTTGGCCTTCCTGTCTCTTTATAAGTGCTGAGAGATCAGGAAGTTTAGAAACATTTTCATAAAATATCTTGAATAAGGAATCCACAGACTCAGATGAGGTTGAAAACAAAGAAGACTTAGATCTTACCAATGTTACCCAAGGCCTGTTGGGATCATCTTTACACTCAATGTTATCCAGCATCTGCATGGCAGTTGACAGCAGCCTGTTTCCACTCATAATAATCAACACTTTCGCCCCAGGTGGAAGAGGTTGCCAAAATGGGGACAGGATGAAGTCAGTCTCAACAGGTTCTCCCTGCTCTGGTAACTGAACACTATGATTAGAGCCAGCCTCCTCATCCTGATCCTGGAATCCACTAAAATCAGACTGACTAGGTAGAGGTTCTTGTAATCTTCCTACTGCCTCATTATCTAGAATATCCAATGACCTACTTTTCTTAGCTGAAGCAGATCGGTCTAATTGAGGATTAAGTCTCTTGCCTATCATCCATAAATCTAAACTTTCTGCCAACTCGGGACCTTTCCAGTGTTTTACATTTAGAAATTTACTCTTCAAGGCCTTATTCCACCTATTTTTAATTTGTATCTTCAATAATTCCTTCTTATCTACTGCAGCTTGATTAATTTAAAATATTTGATCATAACAAACTGCACAATCCAATGGTGAAAACAGGTTGTCTGAGACACAGCTGCCATGAATTATGCAAGCCAAATGAGGATCTAACTTGGTAATCCAAGTGGGTCGACATCCTTGATAATTACATGTAGTATGGTCCCCTTGGGTCCTGGGTGAAACTACTACTACTGATGGACATTTCCTTGTATGTAGTGTATGAGCTGAGCTCTCCAGTCCTTTTAGCTCCTCACTCAACACTAGGTCCCCAGGGACAGTTCCATGGTCTCCTCCATCATCCAGCAGTCCAGACAACTGTCCTTCATCCTCCAGTTGCACATCACTCATCTAAACTAGGAGGAACACTATGAGTCATATTGTATCATACTAATAATACAAGGGAGATTATATTTTCTCCCAAACATAATCAATATGACTCATAACTGTGATATTTTAGTAAGTTATTTCATTTAATATCTCTCATTGTTATATAAGTCACCAGTGTGACAATCATAAACAACTAATTGCCTGTATGTTGGCCTGGTGAGTTAGTGCTCGGCATTTACATACCTAGGTATAAAGCTAGACGCTGCATTCTGGATTGAACAAAAAGAGAATGAACCACACAGGGAAGGAATAAGTCCTTCCTTTCATTAAAATACTAACAAACTTGAACTTCAGGGAGAACCCATGGAGTGGCACTGTGGAACCACAAGGGACATATCTGAACAAGAGTAAAGACAAAGAATGCTCACAACCTCCCTTACCCTGAAGCCAAAAGATTGTGGGAAGCCCTGATACTGAGTGTGTAGTGTGGGGTCATAGTCTAGTCAACTACACAAGTGTTAGTTACAGACTGTAGAAGACGGTGAAGGTGAAACCAGCAATGGACCTGGAGATACTGACGTCAAAGATCAAGGTGGTGGCTCATCAGTATCAACTAGCAGACTTGGGACTGGTGAAGACCTGAAGGCAACAGTTGCCAGGTCCATCCCAGCATGATGAATAGAGTTCAGTGTATTGACTCCGGCCTCAGTGGCTGAGGAGTACACCTCACACCTATAATCCAATTTGAGTCTAACTAGCACGTGGTAAAGGTATAGCAGAGTTCCTCGGGCAGGACCCCATGACGTGTGCCCCAAGACTCTCAATAACTTGAGAGCACGCTGGCAACACTCTTTGAGGTAATGAATATGGGGCTGCCAAGTAAACCGGTTGTCGAAGATAATGTCCAGGAAACGGGTCTCTGTGACACACTGCACATGATGACCATAGAGCTGTAGATTGGGATCTGGGTGAACACTTCAAAGATGGCAGTAATGCATGGCAATGGTCTTCTAGAGAAAACCTGAAACCATGCTCTGTGGTCCAATATTAAACCTTGTCTAGTGAAAAGTACCATGAAACCAATGAATCGTAAAGCTAAAACTTGAAAAACTCAAGATCCTCTATGTTAAAAAAAAAATATTAATTAAAAATACTGGCTACTTTACCTGTACAAATATCTAAAGATGAATTTAATGATATAGTGATACATATATTTCATATGAAAATCTCAATATTTATAAAAATCATGAGTGTGAAGCATTCAACTTACACAAAATCTGCCGATATTGACTTTAATAAAGGCCCCCCATTCATCCTCAATCTTGACCCACAGATCCCAGCAGCCGAGTGGAAAGACAAATTTGTCCTTCGTGTCAATTCCAAATTTTAATATCTTCTCAAAATGAAGTCCAACGCCTCTGACTGAAAAAAAAAGACAAATTTAAACAAAAGATAATGTTACCCTTAAAATATCATTGATAACCTACAGTATATAAAAATGCAGGAATTAACAATAACTATAGCAGCATGAAACAGCAAGTTCAAGTAAAACCTTAACAAAATGAATGGAAAAACTTGAAAAAATTATCTTGAAATTCCTCTTACAACTAACCCCATGACTAAGCAACTCACATTATTATTGTACGTACACAGTTCATTGATTGAAAACTCAAGTACATCATTAAACATTCATGACTGGGACTAATCCATTAATTCCTTAACACTTGTAACTACCATTTTCCCAGAAGGAAACTTTAGGATTAGTTATAATTTGATGTAAAAGTCACACTGTGCATAGTGAATGTCAACTTGATGAGCCAAACTAGAATTAGAGGATTCATTCTATTCAGGTCCAAAATAATGATTTCTGCACTATACACCGGGAGGAGGGAAGGTATATGTATTGTTTAGTTATGAGCTCAGCCATAAATTGTAGAATTGATTAAGAAAATCCCTTTTTCTAGCATAAGTTTTGGTCACAACAAAGACTGCTAATTACAAATTAAGTGTACAGTACAGTACTTGGAAAGCCCCCAGTTATTCAGCCTAGGATACAATACTGTATTCATCTAAATGGGTAAGAATCCTATCTCACCATCACTCCAATAGTCAAAATGTGGGGGGTGGGTGGACTTGGTTTAATAATTGTTCTCTCCAGATAACTGATCAACTGACCAATCAATAATCATTACAACAAAAATCTCTGCCTCTTGTACAGAAATTTTTTATCATTTACCTCATTACCTATTTGGCTAATCCACAAAGCCCAAGAAGAATGAAAGATATATAAGCTACCTAACTATGGATTCTGTCAGAAATAGGGATTTCAAGATCAATCATACTATATCTGGATTTTGCCCTTTGCCATGCAGCAGCTTAAATTACCCAAATTTCAGGAACAAGAACACAAACTCCCCAGGAGAGTTGACTGTTTAGTTGTAATTATTTATTAATTGATTTTTTTATTTTACTTATTTACTGCATCTACAGGGTAGGGAGCATATCCTATTTTTCCTTACTGTTCATTCCTGAAACTATATATTTGAACCTCCTGTCATGGCACAGACGGTAAAATATATGTACAGGTTGACAACCCATTATCCGAAATCCTTGGGGCCAGATGTGTTTCGGATTTCAGAATTTTTCGGATCTCAGAATGGCTACATTCGTTTTTTTATATATACATGTATATATACACCTAGACCCCGACTTACGACTACATGGACTTACGACCGTCGGGACTTACGACCGCCTCAGATATAGATAAAAAAAAAAAAAAAAAAAAAAATTTTAAATGACACACGCATTTTCTATACCGAAACGTTTCCAGTTAATGTAGTCTCCATGTATAATTAGAAAATTATGGGGGCCCCATGTGCATTCAGCTGACTACATTAAAGGTTAAGTGCTCAGTCACAGTATCCATTCCTTATTATTTATTACTTTCACACTGTATCCATTCATCATTATTCATTACTTTTACTGTACTGTATTTCATTGTAGATTTTTTTTTTATCTATGTCGGACTTACGACCATGTCGGACTTACGACCTGGATTTGGGTCCCTAACCCCGTCGTAAGTCGGGGTCTAGGTATATTTTTTTTTTCGGGGGATTAGCCTACTCGGGCACAGGTCACCGACCCACATCGGGGCCTGGGGGGGTTGGGGGGGGGGAATGTAATAATAATAATTCATAGGTCTAGGTCGTGTTTCTCACTTTTGATCTTTTTTTAATTTTGTAATTTCTTTATTATTATTATTATTATTAGTGTTATTATTATTATTATTATTATTATTATTATTATTATTATTATTATTATTATTATTATTATTAGTGTTATTATTATTATTATTATTATTATTATTTTATTTTTAATTGTGTATTTTTTATTATAAATTTTATTTATGAATTATTATTATTATTATTATTATTATTATTATTATTATTATTGTTATTATTGCATTTTCACCCCCCAGGACCCGATGTGGGTCAGTGACCTGTGCCTGGGTGGGCTAATCCCCGAGGAAAGAAAAAAAAATCGGGCATGTCGTGTACACGAGCGGTGCTCCACGAAAAAACTTTTGGTTTTCAGAGGTTTTCAGTTTTCGGAATTTCGGATAAGGGGTTGTCAACCTGTACTGTATATACATGAAAAGTAAGGAGGAAATTATTAACACACCAGTAAGAGGAATGTTTCAATTACAGTAGTTTGAGAAGAAAAGTAATATAAATATCTTACTACTGAAGCTGTATTGTGATATCTTATCATCTTGGGGATCCACATAGTTTTTACATTCTATATAGAAGTCTTCAGTTAGTGCTCTGCCTGTGCGTCGAGGATACCCTGTAAAATATTAGTTACATGAAATATGTCAAGTGACAATAAATCTATTAGTAATACTTCTAATATGAATAAATAGTTTGTAAAAACACATCAAAATATATTTAATAACATTTCATGCCAATTTATCAATACATGGAAAATATAGTGGGGCTGATCTGGAAATCCAAATTTATGACCAGAGTTGAGTGACCTCGCTAGAGGAAAGGTCACAGCGGCTTAGCTCCTGGGGATAAACTGTCAGTAATGGCTAGTGCGACTTGTGAACAGGGCTGTGCCCTTCTGAGGGCCGAGCTGGAGAAGGCCAGGGAAGATATTTTGAAATTAAAAGAAGAGATAGCGAGGATGAAGGAAGAAGCGAGACAAGGAAAGCAGGTGAATGACGAATGGAAGGTTGTAAGGAGAGGGACGACCAAACTGGTGGTGAGAAAAGACACCAAGGAAATGACAACAACAGCAAAGTGTACCAACTCTTTCAGTCCTTTGATAGATGAATTGGATGTTAGTATAGTCATGGACAAGGCTGACAAGGAAGGGAAGAAAATCTTGATTGTTGGTGACTCGCAGGTACGGTACATGGACAGAGCTTTTTGCAGTAAAGATGAAAATAGTATGAGGTTGTGTTTGCCAGGAGCTGGGGTGGGGGATATAGTTGACAGGATGGACAATATCTTGTCTGGTAATGGGAACAAACCCATTATCTGCCTCAGTGCAGGAGGCAATGATATTGGCCGGTGTAGGAGTGAGGAGCTTCTTGATAAGTTCAAGACAGATATAGAACGTATTAGGGTGAAGGGAGGGCAGTGAATGGTTGTCAAGGGCGGTTGGTGTCAACGACCGTCTTGACAGATATTGCAAGTCAATATCAGTCCCATTCATTGACAACTGGGACAACTTCTACGGCAGAAGGGACCGTTATGCTAGGGATGGGGTGCACCTGTCTAGGGATGGCGTGGCTACCCTGGCTGGGACTCTCGAAAGGGCAGTCCAAAAGATGTCGAAGTCTTTAAACTGCTGGGGGAATATGTGAGCACGGGGGTGGAGGAGACTGCAGTGGGAGCGGGTAAACAAAGTGAAAGGTTACAGGGAAATAGTGTTAGGAATGACGACAAAACAAAATTAGACAGCGAGTTAAAACCTTAACGCAACAAAGGGAGGACTCAGAACACGACTAACTTAAATGTGTACTATGCGAACAGTAGAAGTATGAGAAACAAAATGGATGATATCAGGGCCTTGGTATGTACCGAAAAAATCGATATAATAGCATTCACTGAAACATGGATCAACCTAGACTCACGCGAGTTACCTGTCGAATACCAAATTGCAGGTTACAAATTATTCCATACCGATAGGCAGATTAAGAAAGGAGGCGGAGTAGCAATCTAAATCAGGGATAATCTGAAGTGTGAAATAAATAAGGAAATAAAAACTGAGCGGAATACAGAAACAATTTGTATAGAATTAATCGACGGTAGGGAAAAATTAATCACAAGAGTAATATATAGACCTCCCAATCTTGATAGAGTTAATGAGCGACATATCTGGGATGAAATGCGCAGGGCTTCCATACACAACAAAGTCTGTATAGTAGGCGACTTTAACTTTGGCCAAATAGATTGGACTGACCTTACAGGTAACTCAGAATCAAGAGGATTTTCTTGAAACAATCCTGTTTCCTAAGTCAACATATAACCGAACCCACCTGGGGTAATAATATACTCGATTTAGTTCCTTCGAACAGAGAAAACCTCATTAGTCATGTCGAGGTAGGGAACAAACTTGCAAACAGCGATTACAAAGAAATTAGATTCCAGTTAGATTTTCAGGGCAGACGTAAGGAAAATTCCACAAAAGTCCCAGATTTCAGAAGGGCAAACTTTGATAGTTTGAAGAGGCAGTTGAGAGAAGGGGAATCACACTTGGGGGTGAACTACTTGGATCTGACGATTGAAACCGACCTGATAACGGGATCTGAGGTTGCCGAGTTCCACGACAAATTAAATAATGAGTTACTTAATGCACAAAGGCAGAACATACCATACAAAAAACTCAGATCAAACAACAATGACCCTAAATGGATAAATAATTATTTAAAGAACATTATTGGTCAAAGGAAGGCTATAGGTAGGAGGATAAATCGTGGCGAAATTTACCTCCAGGATTATTATAAGGTATTGGCCGGTAGGGTTAAGACCGAGATAAGGAAAGCAAAGAGGAATAATGAGCTGAGGATAGCAAGGGAGGCAAAGACAAATCCCAAGGGAATCTATCAAATGTATCATACTAATACACGAGAAAAGATTGGGCCAATACAGTCAGATACAAGCGAGCTAACTGATAACGACGGAGAAATGAGCAATAATCTGAATAAATATTTTTCAACAGTTTTCACCACCGAAAATTTAAACATGATACCCGAGGCACCGACTCTATTCAGAGGTAGTGAAAAATACAAATTAAGCGAGATAGTAGTGACTAGTAACGATGTTAGTAAGCAAATAGACAAACTAAAGCCTAATATATCGCCTGGTCCCAATGAGATGTTTGCCAGAGTATTAAAGGAATGTAAGGAAGAGCTTAGTATGCCCTTAGCTAAGTTGTTTAACATGTCCTTAAAAACAGGTGTAGTCCCAGAATCCTGGAGGATAGCGAATGTAATACCGATTTTCAAGAAGGGGGATAGATCACTATCCTCTAACTACCGCCCAATCAGCCTAACATCAATAGTAGGCAAACTACTAGAATCAATCATTTCAAACTCTATTCGAAACCACCTGGAGAAGCACAAATTGATCAATGATTCCCAGCATGGTTTCACAAGTGGGCGTTCATGTCTAACTTATCTATTAACATTCTTTTCATCAATTTTCGAATCGGTGGACGAGGGGCACAATTATGATGTGGTACATCTCGACTTTAGCAAAGCCTTCGACAGAGTCCCCCACGAAAGACTAATAAGAAAGGTAGAAGCACATGGCATTAAAGATAATATTCTAAAATGGATTAGGGCGTGGTTACAAGACAGAAAACAGTGAGTGAGCATTCATTAACGGCAATAAATCCCATTGGAGCAACGTCACTAGTGGAGTTCCCCAAGGCTCAGTACTTGGACCATTATTATTTATTATATACATAAACGACATAGATATTGGCATAGACAACAACATAAGTAAATTTGCTGATGACACTAAAATAGGATGTGTAATTAAATCTGACGAGGACTCTGCAAAACTACAGGAAGATCTGAACAAATTTTTTGAATGGTCTGAAAAATGGCAGATGAAATTCAATGTAGACAAATGTAAAGTACTCAGTATAGGAGACGTAAACAGGGAAACCAGATACCAGATGAACAACGATGCCATAGAGAAATCAGACTGTGAGAGAGATTTAGGACTAATGATAAGTAGGAATCTTAAGCCAAGTAAACAATATGTTTTTGCTCGTACTAGGCTAATAAAGTACTTCGGTTCATACAAAGGAGTGTTAGTTACAAGATTAGCGAGGTCATCTTAAGATTATATCTTGCGCTTGTGAGACCTCACCTGGATTATGCAGTGCAGTTCTGGTCACCGTATTACAGAATGGATATAGAATCCCTGGAAAGAATCCAGAGGAGAATGACAAGACTAATCCCAGGCATTAGGAACCTTGAGTACAGAGACAGGTTAAAGCGTCTTAATTTGCACTCCCTCGAGAGACGTAGAGCGAGGGGCGACATGATAGAGGTGTATAAATGGAAGTCAGGGCTAAACAAAGGGGACATTACAAAGGTACTCAAACTATCCAACCGGAGCGAACTCATAACAATGGTTTTAAGTTAGACAAATTTAGATTTAGGAGTGAAATTGGTAAACACTGGTTTGGAAACAGAGTAGTGGATGAATGGAACAAGTTACCAAATATCATCATTAACTCGAATATGCTGGATAGCTTCAAACATAGGTAGGATGCTTATATGAGCAATAGGGGTTGGGTGTAAATGGGACTGCCCAGTATGGGTCAATAGGTCCGCTGCAGTTTCCTCCATTCTTATGTTCTTATACACTTTTGGCAAGTACTGGCTCTAAGCTGTACCTGCACCAGTGTGGGTCAAGTCTGGTCTTAAATGAGTTCACACTTGGTGCCGTCAAGCGCCGCTAAGAGGGTGGGGAAGCCGGGAAAATCCCAGAGGCCAGGGCCTATAGAGGGCCCAGGAAAAGGGGGATATAAATATTAAATATACTGTACATGTATAGTAGTTAATCAAATTAAATTGAACACTAAAATTAGGTCATAAAACACAAGTGTTATATATAGATAATATTAACTGTTCAAAGGCATAAGGAGTACCCGTAAATTTATCTTTCCCGGGGCCCTGGGTAGCTCTCGGCAGCCCTGGTGTTGTCACAACACTACAGTATTTTCTCGATTAGTGAACTAATTCGAGCCACCCCTTTCCATTAAATAAAAATTTCCGCTAAATCGAACTTCCGTTATTTTCGCTAGATTTACCGAAATATTTCACTAAATCGAACGTGATTTCATTAAATTCTGCACCAAACAAGCCACACGTCACTTGGCGCATAAGATTTGTTTACATCCGTTCAGTCAGTGTCCCGCTGCCATCGCGAGTGTGGTTCACTGCTACCTCTCGGTGTCTTTATTCAAGACATCTTCAGAGGCAACTGAATTTACAGGAACTGAGAGGCTTATATACGATGAGTGATCATACATAACATCAGGTCAGGTCAATAACATGGGGTCCACTATTCCACACACCACCTCCACCGCAAACGAAAGAAGAGCTTATGGAAAATGGGTGACATAACAACAGGTCAGGTCAAAACATGAGACCCACTAATCATCTATCCTACATCCTCCTCAAATGCTTTCAAAGCAATTTTAACCTTAGGCCAGTTATTATTCATTAATTAATACCCCAACACCACACAAACAACATTTAGAGTTTAAAGTCTTGTGTGAGACACTGAGTTGGAGGGAGGCAGGGAGGCTGACTG